TCCACTCTCAGAATGAAGCCTTGTAGTGACATGGCCAGCACAATGGAATCTCAATGCATGCTCTTTAGCACAGCTAGTAAGTATTAATTTTGAGAGATGTAGGGTCAGATCCTCAACTGATGTAAGATGACATAATTTCACTGAACTCGAGGAAGTATATAGAGATGTTGCAAAACCTCACTGTTAGGGACCCTGAGTTTAAACTTAAGGTAAAGGAAGGCAAAGCTTTGTGGAAAGCATGACCATGGACAAACTCATCCCTGTTTTGTTCGTTTGGCTTTCAGGTATGTATATATGCCTTTTGCATCCTTGGGACTAAAAGAGGATCTTGATACTTTGTCCCAGGGAATCATCAGCACTGCGTTTTCAGTGAATGTGCTATTGACGCAGACTGAGGTTCACACCAAAGCGTTTCTGCCTTTTCCTATCTTGTCTACATAATGGGATTTTTTTTCCTAAGCTTTGTGCTGAATGCAAATTTGGAGGTGGCTTGTTGCGTTGTGCCTTTAGCTTTCAAATCGGAAACTGCGGTTCTGTGAATCACTTTTAAAATGTACCTTGAGGATAAGATGTATGTATGCAGACAGAGATTGCAAAGATAATATTTTGGAAAAGGGCCTTGTTGATTTTACTGTTGGCTACCCTGAAATCTTGTTAACATACTGGGAGAAGATGAATTAAATTATTAAGGATTATAGGTATACTCTTCTGTGAAAATGAATCAGTGTTGTGGATGAGTGAGGAATAATGCACTTCACTCATAAGAGAGAAGTAGCAATATGTTTTATTGATATAAGGCAGTGATTAAAAAAAGCTCAATGGTTAAGTAAGACTGGTTTAACGAGATTTGATGGCAAGGTTCACTTGGTTGTCTACTGCATAGAGGTCAGACAGAATCATCAAGGAGACCCTCCTGTTGAGTCATGGGGTTCAAAGTGGACTCCCTTACTTTCCAAACTCCTCCTTAGTCCCAGACTTGGTCGACGGTTTATGTCTAAAGGATTATGTGCACAAGTCAATCCGAGATACAACTTAGCAAAGCTTGCAAAGTTTCAGCATGCTGTTAGTCTCTTACTGAGGATCTGTCTCAGGTAAGGAGTCTCTTGACCTTCAGGAGTAACCTTGAGAGGTGCCCCAGTTCAAGGGGGGATTCACCGCTGTGTAGCCAGCTGCTATGCAGGAGAGCTCGATGGGCTTTAGTCTGCGGTGCTATTTATGGGCATGGAGTTTGACTCACGGTTATACAATGTTTGGTGTGGAGATGCGCCTTTTTTGCTGATCTCCTGCTGTATAGGGGAGAATATACCCCCTTTTGCTAATCTCATGCCAGTTTCTGGCCTCACCACTTGCCTCTAGTATCACCTAGTTCCTCCTGGTCAGCCCTGGGTGCTGTCAGCTGTTTGTGGTCAGTTGGAGCCTGAGATAAGGGAGGAGAGTAGTTGTACTCCACCACGCTTTGGGCTTGAGACTGGGCGTTGGGGGAGTGTAGTTGCACTCTGCTGCAATCAATAGCTAGAGCGTCTATGCTTAAAAAACATATTAAGGTTGCCTACAGAACTGTGATTCAGAACTTCCACCCTTCAGATGAACAGAGTCAGAGGTATTTTTATAAGGAAAATAGCTATCAAACAGTCTGCAATGAATAACATGACTATGAAATGAAGCGTATCTCTCCAATGTTGTTCCAATGACTAGTCAAGATTTTCCCTCCTTCAGAAAGACTAGAACTAGATTTTGCCCGCTGTCTCTAAAAATCAGAATGATATATTGCGTTACTGACATTTGAACAGTATAGATATTTTATCTGGCAACTTGTTTTTTGCTTATGTTGCAGTGGATATCCTTTGCCTTTTTATTTTAGGTTTTAATTGAAACTTTTCTCTCAGAAAATCATTTGTATGTTTAGAGGATTTCAAAAAGCGTTCATGAAATTACCTCCTATGTAACTGAGGCACCCTGAGATGGCAAGGGCTACCAAATAAATGCAATGTTTTGCAGTGGAGCTCAGCATTGAACAAGCTGTATGAGGTTGATTATAAATTACGTTGCAGTTTCAAGTAAATATGAGTGCATATATAAGATGTAGACAACCATATTGCTACATATGTGGCAGGTTTAATTCTATCAAGTTAGTTGTGGGGGCCAGATAGGTAAATTCCTGTGATGTTGAAAAGATGATAATGAAATTATTAAAACAAATGCAGTGTGATAACTAGTTCTCTTTTTTGATTTATTAAAGTGCCTATCTTTCCCCCAACTTTTAAAATACACAGACCCTCTTTTTCTCTTTTTTATTTCCATCTCAGAATGAACAGAGTAATTACATCTACCAGGTCTGTTTCTCTGGCTTTTTTATTATATTTTCAGTTCACTTTCTTGTAGACACAAATGCAGAATGTATTTAAATATGCAATAAGCAGAACAGTTCAAAGTGTCTGTGGTAGTGTTTTGTCAGAACCAGCTTCCTGGAATCGCAGTTTTCCAGTCTGTGTGTCATGTAGAATGTCTCTGTTCTTATTTTAGGTGTTTAAAAAGGATGGATCCAATATCTCTATCCTTGAGTAATGCAACTAGTTATCTCATTTGCAGTTGGAGATTGTTCAACATTGTCGCTTTTGGTTTTGAAACTACTCAGTTTTGCTATCTTGAAGTTTCTTTAAGATCTATGCCCGTGTTACTGTATGTTCTCGTAATTCTGTTGAGTATAGTGAAGTTATTTCTTTCATTTACTACTACTTTACATGGCTGAGAATTCAGAATCTTATGTAGATAATTGAAATATATCAGTACGAGATCAAACTGAGGAACAGTGGGATCTGTACATCTATACTGATGTATATGAAGTGAGGTTCTGATCTTTTTTCCTCCTTTTTAATTTATTCTAATAAATTGCTTCTCTCTATGTTCATTTTTAATACTTATCATTGAAGATTTTGTAGAAATATTTTAATAGAGGTAGCCAGTATGAAATAATGGCCTATTATAAATCTTTTTAACACCAAGTTTTATCATATTGTGAGAAGTGTGAAAAATGTGCGAAAAGGTGGTGCATAAGCAGTAAACTGATCCTTTCTCCCTTCCTCGTTAAATCCGTTGTTTGCCTCGGCTTTATCCGCCACAGTCTACTTCAGCGCTGTTCTGAACATCGCAGTTGAGCAGTACCGTGCAGTCTCCATGCCCATTCTCAGCCAAGTCACTTGACTTTCAGTTCAGTGTCGAAAGTCGTCATGTTTTTATGGTCCGCGTCCTTGTCCACGAGAAACTCTGTTGTTATTATGTCTCTTTATGAGCTACAGTCGCAGAAAAAGAGATGATGTTAGACTTGGTAATTGCCATGCCAAGTAGTCAGTATTAGTTGAAAAAATGAGCTTGCCTTAAAAGTCTAATACAGTTGGTTAACATACAGCTGTTCTCTGGAACTATGCAAACTTCCCTTCCTCCCATCCCAGCACAAACACATAAAAGCGTTTGGTTCTAGATACAAAAGTATCAAGAACTATAAGTCTGGACTGGAGACAAAACTGAAACAGAAGACTTTGCCTGTACAGCACTGAGTGTTTTAGTGAAGAGTGGAAGCAAATTACAATCTGTATCTGAGTAGGAGGAATACAGAGCAGTAGTGAACAGGGTTCACTGCAACACTAAAGTTACACAGTAATATGAAAAAGGGAATACTTTTACATTTAATGATGGCCATGTTCAGTCCTTGGCAGAAACTTTTTAAAAAGCTGCCTCATGGTGGAAAGAGAATTTTGCTCCCCTCCTCTCCACGCTGACAAATCAATGGAAATTCCTTTCTGATTAACTTCTAGAATGTCTACAGCTCATTATGTGTCTGCTGCTACCCCGATTCCATTCATAACAGCATCCCATGATTTCTCTTGCTGCTTTACGTAGGAACTAGGACACTGCGAGTAGTACTATTAAAATAAAATCATGTACTCAGATGACCGATTAGTCTTTTTGGAATAGGCTGCTCAAGAGCTTAGTATTTGTTTAAAATGTTTTCAGATTCTGTGTACAGAGCGTAAGCCTGGTTGTGAGTAAGTTCAGCACTGGAAATAATGGCAAAAGTGGAACATGTTAATGTTTTATGCGCACAGTTAATCTGAGATTAACTAAAACACCCCCCCCCCCCACCACCCCCCCCGCCACATTTGCTACTCCCTTGATATTGGGTAGCTTGGGGAAAATCAGCAGATGCCTAGTCTTTCTGCAGTGTTAAGGATTTGCTAATACCTAGTTCATGAGTTTGACTCTTGAACTGGCTGAACAATGCAGGAAACAGAAAATGGAAAGAACCATTGGCATTAAAGTGTCAATGTATGTTGTAGTTGTGAAATTTTTTAGGCACAGTTCTTGTCCCTTGGGGTGGTCTAACTTGTACTTGCTGTCAAAGGTCCTCAGTTATTTCTCTTAACAGATCTGAAGGAAAACACTTGCAAAATCCGCTTTTCAGTATGTTCTGTGTATCTGAAAAAGAGAGGCATATGGACACTGTTTGATTATTCTACATCATGCAAAAAATTAAAGGAATCCCTTGCATTTTAGTGTAGTACGGAGCAGGTAAAGAGAAGGAAAGAGTAGTTCGGTAAACAGATGTGCCTGCATGGATAAGACAGGAAGCATGCAGACCATGGGGATGGTTAAAATAATTCTTTCAAGTAACACAATGTCTAAACTCGTATTTATTCTTTCAGTGAGTTATATTACTCTGAATGTTATTACTTTATTGAAAATTTCAGATGAAATATTCAGATAAGGAAGTTCTGAGGTTTCCTTTAAGTGACTCTAAATCCTTCCTTGTGGTATTATGTTAAATTTCACATACATCATTGTATAAATTAAAGGAAATTGTATATTATGCTTTTTCTTTCTCCTGTTTTATGAATGCTAGTAATTTTATAATTATCTTATATGTTATTGATTATTTTGAAATACTATCTTTGTATAATGGTAGCTTTTTTTAATAATTAAATTTGAATCTTTTCTTCTTACAGATGTTTTGATGTAGGGCTACATCGCTTTCTGGTCAGGTGAGCTAACGATTATTTTAAATTGCAATTCAATATTGAACATTTCTGATGTTATTAGTAGAGATGGTAATGTCATGTGTACTAAATATTGCTTGATACTTTCTATGGCAAGATCCCCTTTCCTTTTCCATTGATATATTAGTTTGAGGAAGTTTTAACTATTTGAGCTAAATATCTGCCCTATGACAAACTCTTAAGGAACCTCTTAGAGGAGGCATTCAGGGAAAACCTGACTCAGGAAATTTCAGCACAAGTGTTTGAGTCATTTTTGAGGAAATATATTTCCGTATTATGTTAAGAGCATACCTGGAGGGGAAGAAATATTAGTTAGTCTCTTACTGAACACCATGCTTTTGTGGTTTAAATGGAACACAAAAATATTCTGTGAGATCACATGAGCTCTTTGTTACAGGGGAAAGGGGATGTGAATTAAGATTGCACAACCCTTATCCTGACATTTCAGAACTTTTGAGCAGTAGACTTTGCAACCTTAAGGTTGTTTTATATGTTTCTTTGCAGGTAATATGACTGTGTTTAACAGACAGCTCTATTCACTGAAGCCATACTGTCAATATCATTAACAGATATGCCATTTTGATAGGTAGATATAGTTTTGAGACTAATGAATATTTAAGTTTCAGTATCAATTCTACAAAATTAGTCACATCTATATTTAGACTAGCAGATAAAGGATTTTTATTCATTGTGTGAGAACTTTGTACAAAAATATGCTACTGCTGTAAAGGGAATATTGTACACAACAAAATCTCCTGGGAATACAAATAACTTGTTAACCAAGAATAAAATCATAGTAACTGTTGATGTACTAAATTTGACCCACTGGTTATGCACCTGTCACAGGAGATGTAGTCAGTTACTTCATGTGAAGAATGTAATCAATATTATTCTTATGTACTGCGATATTTTACATCATGGGGAGATTGTATTAGTCATGTGCAAATAGGCCCTGAATTTGAATGAGTTGAATGTTCTCTTTTTTTGACTAATATGTCATCATTTCAAATGCCACTGTGGCTCCTGTGCAAGAGCATGTTGCTCTAACCTTAGAGATACCTTTAGTAATACTTCATTCTTAGTCTGTCGCTCTCCCTATTAATAACTTGGAGAACCAGTAGGCACTTCCTTTGTAACTGTTCTGTTAAGGAGCAAATATTGTTTACCTCTGCTATAGCAATTTGAGTTTTGCTTAATTGTCCTTAAGTGAAAAGAAACCACTGTTTAGTAGGTGGAGGAGGAGTCAGGGAGCAGAAGATCTGGTTTGCATCTCTGCCACTGATCTGTCATGTGACCCTTAGAAAATTCTTACCTTTCTTGGTTTTGTCCATTTAGACAGTCTCTGCCTCTGAGAAACTACAGATCTTCTCTTGTGTGCTGATATAGAACCTGTTACAAAAGAGCCCCTTCACTGATTGGGCTTCTAGATGTGAAATACAAAGAAAAAATAACAGTTGCAGCAAGGATAAAAATCTATGAATCGTGAGATTTGAAATGTTAAAGAGATACTGCATTGTTTTAAGTGCAAGTACACCAGCCCACAGTGGAGCAGGGAGCAAAGTGTGACATTTTCAAATATAGGACCAACAAAGGTAAAAAATAGTCTCAGCTTTAAAGGATGCACTATGCCAAATTACTTATTAGAATGCTAATTGAAAGGGATAGAACATACCATGGCATACGCAATAGATGGCTTGCTTGAGTGAAGCTTAATACACAGTGTGACACAGGATTAGAGCTACACAGATTCTTCTGTGTTTGTAGCAAAAATATATATTCGTTTCTGTGGGTCTAGCTGTGGCTTGAACTATGCTTCTGATAAGGATTTAAGAAGCTCAGAAAGGTTTAAAGTCCCATCTTTTTTGTATTTGATATTATGGAAGAGTACGTATTATATTAAAAAGAAAGTAACGGTGGTGTTTACAGGTTTGAACTGACCTGGATTGTACGACTAGATTTCTAATAGCGTTGCTTGTGTGCTGAAATATATTAGCATCAAGGAACTGCTGTCTGTGAAATTCAAGTGCTATTGAATATAATTGTTTCAAGGTGTGGGCCTTGAATATTTGTTAGCTACATCATACTCTTACCTAGGGAGCCTGGAAATTCATGGGAGAAAAAAATCAGTAATTTCGTGATGAAAACTGTGTTTTCATACTACCCATTAAAAATGTGCTACCATACTTGGAAGGTCACCATTTGCCCACTGTTTTCACATTGTGACGTAAAAGAAAGTAATTGTTACTTCTCCTTTTAGGGTCAGCAAGATTATTAAGCAAAGCTATACAAATCACACAAGTAAAATACAAACAGATAATTTTTTCTTTGTCGCTACGGGGAAAAAATGTGTTTTCTAAATTCAGGCATTCTCAGAACAGAGTGATGAGTGTGTTGTCAGAGTTCAAAACGCATAAAAGTAGCCTTTGAGGTAGCAGTTTATTGTGAGAGATCGAGCTAGAATGAAGCTGCCTAGTGCTGTTCGCTCACTGAAGCCATTTTATCCAAGCATTTCATCCAATGCTGAGAACAGGGCATTGAATGAAATAAATACTTGAACAGATGAGAATATTTATTCTGTTAATGCCAAAAAATGCTCCCTTTAGGGCAATGCTGACCAGGGAAATGGAGAAGAATTACAGTTCCTGGAGGCATGGTCTTTTTGAAAAATCTCCACCCTTGCAGCACTGCTGTACCTTTGAAAAAATGTGAATCATCTTCATTCCAGCACAGAGATGGCTTTGCAAAAAGCTGCAGGATCATGAACCCCCAACACCGCCTAAAGGTGTTCATCTGTTGCCAACACTCACTGCTCACCCCATGCTTCCTAGTAACTTCAGCTTATTTAGAGCTTCAGGTTATTTAAGTTTAGCTTATTTCCTGGTATAGAGGTTCTTCAGATAAAAGACTTCAAAACCATCCCATTTTCTAATTTTATCACAGGAAGCAAGGCAAAGTTTGTCTGCTGGGGTCAAAATTCAGTAAATGTATTGCCACCCTTATTGATTTTGGTTAGAACCAGGACACACCTGCGTGTCAGGGCACAACAGTCCCATGGAGAAGGAGGCATTAAGTTTCTAAATTTGGCTCTCTGCTGAAAAAACAGAAGATAACAGGGAAAAATCTGTTCATCAGCCAGTTCATCTCCTGTTCTCATTCTCTGTGGAGTATGATAGGACCCCACATATTTCTGTGCGATCCAGAAGACTAACAGAATAATAATGATAATGAATGATCTACTGGACTGATAAAAGTTTTGCTCAGTAAATTAAACAATCAGTTTTTTTCCTAGCTACTCTGTTCAGAAAGGTGCTGCTGAGATGAGTTCCTGTGAGGTTAAACTCTCTTTAAAATGCAGACATTTTCTTCCAAAGGGCATCACAATTCTCTACTGAGATGCTGACAAGTCACTATGTAACGGTAACCCCCATGGAAGTGTAGTTGCTCACTGAAGCCCTCAACAATATTCAAGCTATTCCCGGCTTAAGAGATGTATGCTCCTGCTGTTTAGTGAGAACAGTAAAGAAAGCAGCAGTTCTGCTATCACTGTTTTCTACCTCTGTGGAAAAAATCAAACATCCAAACTTCCCTCCTCTCTCTAGTGCGCCAAGGTCTTGTAAAGTCAACATCTGATGCAAACAGTCTCTTCCACTTTGTATTACACCTTTCCTCTAACTCTATTCCTGGGCAAGATCCATGGTGATTCTGTGCTCCAGTGCAGATGCAGATTTCCTGCTGGAGTGCAAAATGAAAAGAGCCTAAAAGGTGAACCTTCCTTTGAGAGCTAAATAGCAGAGCTGATGGTACACAGCCTTTCTGCTACTCTGAACATGACTGCCTGTAAAATATTACTGACATTCTAGCTGGGCTGGACAGCACAGCATTAGAGATTCCACCTTTCTTGCAACAGGATTGATGGAGGTATTTCGATAACTGCTTCTGTCTTTGAAGTCGCTAGATGTGAAGTCCCACAGGGATGCTTCCTTTTTCTTATCTCTTTCGGTATGTCTGCTCTGTCAAAAAGCTTCACTTCTCAGTTTACACTGTGTCCTGGTCACCTAATCATCCTTTTACTGCATAAATGACAATATACTTCCAAACTGTCTTCTGGAGCAAACTAAATAGTTTCCTCTAGAACAAAACCTGAGTGTGGTTCTGGGGGTCATTCACTCCATCCGCCATTTCCAAGAAGTGGTATGGACAACATTACATCAGCTTTGTCTTCCTGTGCCCTACACAGTTCACTAGTATTGCCCCAGTGGTTTTGCACTTTCAGGACTTCACTTTTGTCTTTTCAGGCCATGCTGTTAACACGTAGCCTCAATCTTATGCCATAAATACAGGCCACAGCACTGCCCTCACATTCCTTCAAACACTTGGAGCTGAGAAAAGCAAACACAGAATGTTGTGGTCTCTTAGGACCACAACATTATGCCCTAAGGGCAATTTCTGTGTTGTCTGGGTTTGGCCAGTCTGTTCCAAATGAGGTTAATTCTAAGTAATTTTGCACAGTCTCTTTGTACCAGTATTGCCTCAGAGTCCAGGATGACTCGTTGAAACAGATGTGTTTGATACAGTGTATGTAGCCAATGCATCTATATGAGACCCACGGAAGAAGCACTACTGTTTTTTGTGTTACCCACTGCATGCCCATAACAATTTTATGTCCGAGGTCATTCTTCTCACTTGTAACAGCACTGGCACAAAGGTGCTGTATCGACTAAGCAGCACTGCATCTGGATGAAGAAAAATGGTTTGTCTAACCCCAGCCGCCAAAGCAGTGCAAACCTAACATGCAGAGTTCTGCTTGATGTAACACTGCATAAACTGCCAAATATGTGAGTGGCACATTGCATTATTCCATTTGCATCTACTGATATACTTCCTGGGGAAGGATCCTAGTGTCTTATGTTTGTCACATGCAGAAGGGGTTCACTGTTGCCTGTGAAATTTGGGCCTTACGGTATGTATGAGTGTATAGGATATAT